CTTCTAAGGTCAGAATTGTTAATTAATTGCTTTGGTAGTTAAAGGAAAAAGTTGGAGTGGAGACACTGTGAAGCAGCTTGTGCCACCCTCACCCAGCACTGGGTTGGCCTCAGGGCATGGGCAGAGGCACATGGGAATCAGAACATTTCTATCAATATTTGAAGGACTAGAAAGAACAAACTATGGGTTTTGGACTCTACAACCTGAGCTGCTTTCCAGATCTTGCCCTTTATTGTACTGTTCCACATCAGTTCTGTCAGGAGCTGCTCCCAGAAGAGAGAAGATGAGTCTGGAAACTCTCATTTTAATTTTCTTTCCTCATTCCTCTTCCTCCTGCCTTTTCCTGTTAGTGCTACAGCAGTTTTCCTGTTCAGAAGCAACAGCTCAGGAGACACTTGACATTTCAAAGAGTAGTTAAGATTAGAGGTTTGAGTTCTTTTCAAGAACTGAAAGCCTCATTGAGCTGCACTGGGAAGGTTAGAGCTGACTCTGATCCTACTCACTTGGATGACTCAAGTCTCATTGATTTTGGTGAGGGCAGAATTCCTCTCTGTGTCCTACAGAACCTGCTGAGGATCTATACCCATATCCTTGAGCATATCACAGTGAACTTTGTAGCTTCCAAAGGTTGATTGGGCAAGAAAACTTTTTGACCCACTCTGGTTAAGCTAAAAGGCAGATATTACTTTCTGAGGATAGCAGATTGTTATTCTCAGTGATATCTTTATGTATTTTTACTGTTCTATTTGTTTTATCCATATTTTATTGCAAAGCTAGGGAAATAAACCCTCTCTATTTCCCTTAGTTTCACTCCTCAGTGATGTCAGAGCTGGTAGATCCAGGTCTCTCTGCTCTCAAGGTTCACCATGTGTAGAAACTTGCTCTGTGCTGTTGGATCCTCTGTGCTAGGAGGAGTTTAGGCTGCACATGCCAAATTACTGCAGATCCAAAGAAAGATGCTGTTCAAAAAGAGCCTGGTAGCAGAAATGCTTTTTGGGAAAGACACTTGAGGTAGCTTTGAAATTTCCACGAGCAGTTTTGTCTCTGCAGGAGAAAAGGCAAAACTCACTTTGAAGCACAGAGAAGCAAAACATATTTCTTTTCTGTCTTTTTTAGCAACATTTTGTATTTATTTTGTGTTCTGTCATTTTTCTAGTAGTATCTCAGCAGTTTCTGCATGGTAATTCATTGACTTTGGGCAGGTGATGGCAGAGGAAGTATTGAAACATCAGAGTTAATGCTGACAAGATAGAGACAAGGTTTGGGAAGTGCCCAGTGCCATTCCCAGGCTGTCAGTGCATCCTATCCTGGGGCTTGGTCCTCTTCACTTTGCAGGATTGATCCTTTCTCTGGTACAAAGTATTTTATAAACCAAAGGATGCTTTAGGAATAAATGACATTCTGCTGTGCCTCCCCTTCATTATTGCATCATATTTCTAGAGAGCTGAATGCAGTGAAACAGTTTTCAATGTCCTAAGAACTTCACAGTTAGCTCTCAGCTCTCTTCTTTAAACCCCCAGAGAAACTCAGTTGCACACAGTATTTTTACCAGCAGGTTTTAGGTTGGAGGGATAAATGCAAGGAGCTATATGTCATAATCCCAACCAGGCAGCCCAACCATTCACATGAAACACAGGCTGAGGCAGACACACAGAGGTGTTCTACTTTTAGAAGGGATTCTGAGTTGGCCATGTGTTTTACCTTAGCAATTCACTCCTGCTGCCCTTCATATTGTAAGAGCTCTTTAATAATATTCCAACTCTTTGTCTTCTCAAGACAACATTAACCAGATGACTCAATGCAAAGCAAAGTTCCCCAGTGGCAGAATTTATTGGTTGGCACATGCCACAGTAACAGATTTGTTGTGCTGTTCCTGTCCAGACAGAAAAAGCTCCTTTGGGAAAAGAACTTATCTTAGACACTGAGCTGAGGTTATTTATCTGCTGCTGGTTAGGAATGGGGAGGGAAAATAACCCTTTTCCTTCCCTAGGGCACTAAAGGGGGAGGGCACACAGAGGATAATGCTAAAATCAGTCACTGTTATGTAAGGGATGGTGAGAATAATGGGAATGTGGCTTGACTAGTCTGTTTGGTGAAGGGTGTGAGCTGAGGCACTGGATGGAAGGAATCACTATTTTAATCTTCACAGTTTGAGGGAAGGGGAAAAGCAAGTTGCATCACTTTTAACAGGTTCTTTTCCTTCCTTCCCCACCAGTTTTCCTTCTGCCTCATGGTTCTGCTTCTCTGCAAATGGAAAAAATGATCAGAAATGATCTAAGTAAAGTTAATTTCTGAAAAGGGATTTTGGGGATGAGTTGTTTTTTGCTGGTGTCTGATGTGAGGTGAATACCCAAGCAGGAGAGAGAAGGCAAAATAACAACCAACTTAAATACATTGTTGACTCATCATCCAGTTCAGTGAATTACCTAAATATGTTCTGCTTCTATGTGTAGTACTTTCTACAGTGCATGAGACTGACCCATCCTGCTCTGGCCACCATGGGGTACTCTGATGGCTTTTGGTGCTGCTGGAGGAAATGAATGTAGAAGTGTTAGTGCAGAGCACTGAAGATCAGCAAATAAAACAACTTTCTCTCTTTGCCTGGATTTACTCCTACACAGCAGCACTGTCAGCCCTGAGGGGTTTGGTGTGAAGGGCAAACGTGTGGATGGATGTTGACACGGTTG